TCTGAGACATGTGATGTGTGGCCTGCATGACTCCAAGAAAATAGCAGGCCTGCTTGTTTTCTTCAATTTAATTGAGTGTATTTTTTGTTGAATCTTCAGAGCTTCCAAGTGGGACAAACACAGGTAAAACATTCTTTAATGAGAAACGCTGGACTTTGTAAATGTTAAGAGACAAGTAATTTAATCTGATTCAGTACTCTCTAAACACCTGTGACTTTTAGTTTCCTGAAAATAGAAGAAAAAAACAATTACCATCCAACTGAATCAAGCTTTAATTTTTCAGTTGTGTTATATACCTTAATACTCTTATATCTTTCTGGTTCAGGGAACAATTTTGTAGCTTTAAATATTATGGTGATTAAATTATAATCATGGTTTTCTCTTTTTCTGTTTCATTTGGTCTATGCAATAAACCCAGGCCATGGAAAAAGATGAGATCTGATTATGCCCAATTTTATCTACAAATAATTATGCACTGTTAAGTTTTATATATGTAATGAATCATGAAGCACAAAATTGTGGAAAGAAGATAAATTGAGTTCTGACTGAATGCCAAATGTTTCCTGGACATAACAGGAGTACAGAGGCAAATTCTTTATGATAAAGTCATTGGAAAAAATATTTCTGAAGCTTATCATTCATTTTAGGTACCATAGGAATTGTTGTTGGTGCAGTGTTTGGATCAGTTGCTGCACTGGCCATTGCTGGAATATTAGTTTGGTGGACTTGTAGGAAAAAGAGGCACAACAGGAAAGGCACTGAAGGTAAGTGTTACATACATGTTATGCTCTGAAACAAGCACTAGTTTTGGCATCCCAGAAATATATCTTTTGTACTTTTCTTTTTTTCTAGAACTAGGTATAATATTCAGTTCACTATCTGCTGCATTATGATCTTTGCTCAAGTGATTTTTGTATTTTTAATGGATAACTTTTAAAACAGTGTATAAAGTAATAATTTGTTTTTTGTTATCTATAGTTATAGTTAAAAGACCTCGCATGAATTTGTACACTTTAAGACTAAATTTGAAGTTCATCACAAAGACTTTGCTTTGCTTGTGAGAGATAAATTTTGCTTGATGTCAATTATTTATTGTTATGTTTCAGTTTCCTTTAATTTATCTGTTTTGTTTTGTCTTTTTTTTTCATTACAGAGGTGGTGATGAGCGGAAGGTGAGATTTTTCTACAGAAATGTTGCTGTCTACTTGCATTGTTCTTTTATGGTTCAGTCGTTTTAACAATTTTAACACCCTTAATACCTTTTTTCATGTGAATGTTTGTGATTGATCCAATTACCACTAAATTCAAGCCCTCTTGTGCAGCAGAGATACCACTTTTGGACAATGAATTTAATGGTTGTTACTTGTACAGTAACCAAAATCTTAGTGACCTGTAAAAAAACTGGAAAAAAAAACAAGAACATCAACAACTAAAAAGTGTATGCTAGTTAAGCTTATTATCTTATTCTAATATTTATATTATGCAAGATCATCATGTGTTAGTTCAAGCCTACGTACTAGTTTTCTAGGTGTCCCCTATTTAAGTTGAATGATCTTCCCTCAGTGATCTCACTATGACTAATGAATAAAGAGCTGTTATTAACATTGTTATTATGAGTAATGGTAATAGGACTGAGTTGAGTCCAATTTGGTCTGTTGTCAAGAGTGATTTAAAAAATTGGATGACCCCGGAGCAGGAGTGTGATATGTTAATTACAAGTTAATCAAAAGTAGGACAAAATATAAGAAACGATGTGTTGTATTAAAAAAAAAACAACAACAACAGCAACAACAGGTAACTCAGCAAAGTACATGACAACAGTGCATGCACATGGCACGAACTATCCAATAACTCAGCTCATTAACAAGTATGCTGCGTACACTGACTCAGTGGAGCCTAAATTGGGGCTTGTGGTAACCAATCACATTAGTGAATTTCATAGTTCTGCTTATTATGACTGTAGCTGAGCCTATATCCGGTTTCCAGCTGCTTTTCTAACTGGACTAAGCTGTCTGTTAGGATTTTTCAGTTAGAGAGAATTGGGTTTGTTTTGTGATATATTATTTGTTTCAGAACATTTGGAAATTCAAGTAATGAAACAGGAGGAAGTACTAATGTAGGTTATGTGATGAAATCTTATATCTTCATAGATAGATACATTTTCCTGTAGTCCTAGGTACGAATTGTTTTTACGTTGCTGTCTTTACTGAAAGTCTTCCCGCTGCATTTTACAGTTCATACGCGAACCCAGAAAGTTATGATCGATACAGATTTTAAGTCGATTATTCACTGATATTTTCAAATAATAGTGGTTTATTTCTCATATGACAGCTGATTTGAAGATTTGAAATAATTTCCAAGCAAGTTGGGTAATTTATTATCTTTTGTTTGATTGAAAACAACTTTGTCTTTGAGATTGCAGTCGAATTGCCTAAACCTTCTCAAAGCCATTACATGGCGCTGGATGACAAAACTCGTTCACGAGTGATAGCAGATGCCAGTCCACTTAGCACTGAACAAATCAGCGAGTACGCTTCTCTTAATCTGTACACACGCTCCTGGGAGATTCCTAGAGAACATGTAACGATAAAGCTGATCGTTGGAAAAGGTGCTTTTGGTCAGGTCGCCAAGGCAACAGCCGTCAATCTACAAGGAACAGCCGAGAAGACGCTCGTTGCAGTCAAAATGTTGAAAGGTACCAAGAAATAAAGTCATGTTTTACTTGACCTTTGAACTGACTTAGAAGTCTGTCCACATTGTGCCGGTTATTTTGATTTTAATGATATGCTTCTGCATAGTTTCCAAGCCCCTGTTTAGAGTAATCACATTCTATTTGACTAGTCTACAGTTATGTTCATAGCTTGAAGCTTATTCTACTTGATGTAGCGATGGAATTTTAAGGTGTAATTTAAACATGCCCCCTTAAATGATGGTTACATTTTGGAGCCAAGGTGCTTTACGTTGACAAAGAAAAGCACCTTGAACATGATGTATGGTAGGGTCGCATGATATCTATTTATCTATCTGTCTGTCTGTGTGTCCGTCTTTCTGTCTGTCTATGTGTATATCTATCTGTCTAGCAATCTATATATCAATCTATACATCTATCTAGCTATCTACCTATCTGTTTATCTCTTTATCTTTCTATCTATCAATCTTTATTTCAATCTATCTATTTATTTATCTATCTATCTTTCTATCTATCAATCTTCATATATGTAATGTAATGATTTATCCATCTGTAGACGTTTACCTAGATAATGGTATCATTGGAATGTTATTCGACCACAATTGATCGGAAATCTTGTTGCAGAAAACGCTTCTGAATCAGAGAGAAAGGATTTGCTGTCTGAGCTTGAATTGATGAAACAACTTAAACCTCATCCTAACGTTATCAAACTTTTGGGATGCGTTACCAAGTCTGGTAAATACTGAAAAGTTTATTATCAGCTATGGTTACCGTCAAGATGAATTAGATTTTGAAGTATAGATAAGTTTCGTCTTTCTCGGTATGTTGGTGTTTGAGCTTAATATATCTTCCCTCTTAATTTATATAGTATAACGTAATTATTCGATTTGGCGCTTGGGCGCTTATTTACTTTTGGTAGGCAACAGGAGGGTGTTTATTTGAAACAGGGCGAAGAACCAAGTAAACGACTGGTATCTTCGGGTGAAGTAGACTACGAGTACTCCATACTTTTTCGGCGAAGTAAAAATAAATCAGAGGAAACAAATTGCCACAGGAAGTGATGGTTACGAAAAGCCGAAACCCTACTTTTCGTGTACCTCACACCCAGAGGTCCTCGTGATCACCGCGGTGTTTATTGCGTTTTTATTGTTTTTGAGGAGGTCTTTGTTGGTATAGTCCATTTAATTCACCTCGTCATTCTTTACCCACTATTCCCATCTCTGTTAACTTCTAGGAAAATCGCTGACCGACGCTTAAATCTTAGGCATATTCTATTCTTGCGGGAACGTTTGACGTCTCGATAGAGTTAATTTGACAGCAAAGAAGAAGTCACAGTTGTATACTGTCCGCTAAGCAGCAGAGTGTATAAAATCAATAAGTAAGATCTACGATCAGCAAAATTTACTGGTGGACTAAAAAAGGGGCCGACACCAAAACTGCGTGCTTAAGGTTTGCACACATGTTGCGGATATGAGCCGATCAGTTGTGAATACTCTATAAGAGCGGGAATCTTTCCGGTAGTATACCTTGAAAATAAACATGATCTGCTTTAAATAAAAATTTGATACGATGTCAGTTCAGTGGCAGCGACATTTTACTCCTTCACAATTAATTTTCCGAGTTAAGAAACTTATGGCTACTTTGCTTCTAAAATAGACTAACAAGAATTTTGAATATTACCGAGTTATACGATATTTGATATTTAATTTTCTTATAAACGTTGAATAATTGTCGTACTCTTCTAAGTGGCTGTGGCTCTTATTGGAGAGTGACGTTTATTGTTAATTTTGCTTCCATCTGCGACATATAATCAAGTATTTGCGGAACTTTGTTTGTCTCCCTAGAGCCAATGTTTGTGCTGATCGAATATGCTCCTTTTGGGGATCTGCTGGGTTATCTGAGAAGGAGCCGTGGATTGAATGATACTTACTACAAAAACCCGGATATCAAACCACAAACAAATCTGACCTCACAACAGCTGATTAAATTTGCTTGGCAAATCGCTGACGGAATGTCCTATTTGTCATCGATACCAGTGAGTGAATGACGTTCTTATAGAATAAGGTCTCATTTGTCACTCAATATACCACACTTCATTGAATCGTGGACTCACTGCCTAAGATGTCATCCCATGTCAGCTGAGTCACCCTTACATGTAAGTCTCTCGTTTCGTTAAAGGATGTTTTCCAAAAGAAACGTTTTCTCTTTGTGTAAGGTTATTCATAGAGATCTTGCAGCTCGTAATGTGTTGGTTGGAGAGGGGGAAACGTGCAAAGTGACGGACTTTGGAATGGCCAGAGATGTGCAGGAGGACAACATTTACGAAAGAAAAACCAGGGTATGAATGTTTTTAAATTTCTAATTTTTAATGTTCTTGTAAACCTTGTATTATATGGCTGAAGATGCCTCACTGGAGTGACTGGTTAAAGAAAACAAGCTCAGTAAATTTTGTTCCGTTTTCCGGAACTTTCGTTACAGAGTTGTTGTCATTGGGAGCATAAGTACTTTTTAAGGACTACCTCAACGCCTTGCATTTTTAATTCTTATTCAGGGGCGTCTCCCTGTAAAATGGACTGCCATTGAGGCGTTGCTTTACGGAAAATATTCTACGAGGAGTGATGTGTGAGTACATGGAAGATATGAACACTGCACTAGGCTTAATGAGAATGGTTTTGTATGAACTGTTTTCAGGTCTGCAAAACGTTATTTGGTTACTTTTGTATTTTGGTCTTTTTATTTTGCTGATGTGAGGTTATCTCAGTGAGAATAGGTTATCCTTATTTTTTATGGGTGGAGACCAGGGATCAACTCCCATGACACTGTGCATGTGTCCCTCCCTACCCCATTCCCCCTCCTTTTTACCACCAAAGATGTTCTAATTACGTTTTTTGTAGGGAAGAAATTTTACTTCCTTAAATGAATCCCTTTTGTTTTACAGGTGGAGCTACGGAGTTCTCCTCTATGAGATTTTCACGATTGGTAAGTTACTTGGCAGATTACCATTCCACTAATTTTAGCTTCAGCAATTGAGGGGACATGAAGTCATGAAGTAAGCAGGGTGTACCAGTCTCTGTAGAATTGGTTTTCGGTCATACCAAGCCAGTTTAGATTGCCAAAGTCGCTGGCCTTAGCCGGAAATAAATTGTTAATGGAAATACATCTGCAGAGCTTTTCATTTTAGAGTATATTAAGAGCCATGTCAACATGCATCAAACAAACAGCGGCAAGTCACCCGAATTCGTTTTCTCTCCTACTTTCATATTTTGTAGCCCAACATGTCCTAATTGTGGTGTGGTTTTTTTGTGAAAACATATTTTAGTTTTTTAGAAGTGAGTTTTTTCGTTCGACCGCTCAAATATGCAAATTTTCACACTGAATATTACCCGAGTTGTGTGACCTCATGTAATAAATTTACTTGACCTCCGGTTTTTCTGTCGGCATAATCCTTTTTTTTTTATCATCTAAACTTAATCCCCTGTCATTATTGAAGCTGGCAAAGAAATATTTATTTTTTGGTGAGTATTTTTGTCCGACATACTTTTTCTATGTCGAAAAGTAGCATCAAAACAAAAACAGTTTTAACAATGACCGATAGGACAGAATCTACGGAGCTTTTAGCTTTTAAAAGACAAAAGGATGGTTATAAAGTTACTGTAAAAATTTCCTTGTGTATTTGTGTTGTTCTATTGTGAGACGAACTCAAAGTCCGGCGAAATTTCCTTGCTAGCGACTATGAAATATACATGGTGTGCCTACTTGTCGCCACCGTTTATTGGCATATCGAGGCATAAATCACTACAATTTGTAAAAAAATCTAACATAACACTCTTACCTTGTTTATTTATGATTTTATAAGACCAATAAGCTGTTTCGGTTATTATATTACGCTTGGGTATTACTTTTTGCCGGGAGCCCAGGTTTTACGTTGTGTTTTCCCCTTTCCCATTATATCAGAAGCTAGTCACGCAATAATTGATACCAAACACAAATGAATATTTACCCTGTATGAAGATTCTTGTTTATGTTGTGTTTGCAATACGCTATTGCATATTCAATTAGCCGACGATTGTTTAGATCGTTATTCCCAATACGGACCATTCTTTGCTCATATTTAATTAGCTGTAGATCGCGCTAAAAAATATTATTCATAGTGCAGTGTGACTTTGTAGTTAAAACCGTTAGGACGCTGACTAAACTTGGCTCGTCAAAAGTTGGGTAAAATTTCCGCACAGCCCCATACTTCATTATGCATTCAGTTCTTGAATAGAGAAAACAATGACTAAAACAATACATTGCCATTGGGAAAACAGATTTGTTTTACAATAGTATGGGGCTGTGCGGAAATTTTACCAAAAGTTGTCTTGTCAGGATATTTCTTCATGCTGGAATCGGAAAGTACTTGAGGAAACATGTTGAGTTGACAATATTACAAAATGTTACTTTTGTGGTCACTAATCGTTGTTTCAGTAGCAGCGTAGCAGTTCAAAGCGGGTCAGTGTTACTTCAACGCTATTGAAATTTATAGTGTTCTGGCAGGAGAGCAAAGCGTGATGCTCTGGGAATAAAAACTCTTCGGGGCCTTTTACATGGTATTGGAATGAGTTTTGTTCAAGAACGAGTTCATCCCGGTTGCCACATGATACCAGAGTAAAATTATTCGAAACGAGTCATTTCTGAATGAGTTTATTGAGGTTTTCATTCCAGAACGAAACACTTATTCTGGAAGACCTTTTGTACCTGTATGGTACGGTCGTACATCCAAATTTTTTCGGCTTGATGGGTTACTACTATTTTGTATAATTATGGGGCTACGCTCTGCGAGCTCCGCTATTAGCACGGAAATACAGTAAAAAAAGAAACGTAGCTCAGGCTCAAAGTTCATGATAACTATGAAAGCTCATATCGCTACTCGACACTCACATCTGTATGAATCCTCTTTAGGAGCGTGGGAAGCATAGAAAAAAGACGTAAATACTTGTTTTTACAAGCTAAATTATCTTGCATGTAAACGCGGTATGAAATTAATTTCGTTCCGGAACGAAACCCATTTTGGAATAATGTAAAAGGGACAAAAGGGACGAACCGTGAGATTTGTGATGCAGGGAGGGGGTCTTTTGCCAATTGCAGTATGTTTTCTTCCATTAAGCCTGTGCTCGATTTTTTGGGGGGTTATTGCCCAACACCACACTTCTTTAGGCACTCTACATCTACTATTGGAACCACGAATCCACCTAACACTGGTACCGAGATTTGATCTATGAGTGGGGCAAATTGTAAAATCATCGATATCTTTTGGCGTCTCGAAGATGCCGGTTTCTCGGCGGATTTGGACCCCCCCCCCCCTTCCAAATCTGCTAGCGTATATGGAACCTCCGTTAGCGGATTTAATCCCCCCTCCGCAGATTTGGAACCCCCTTCCCCTTCCCCCCCTTCCCCCCCCCCCCATCTGAACTGGGTGAAAACATCATCCTGAACGTTCTCGTAGGAATAGATAATACTTTTCGCTTCAGTGCGTACTAAAGTATGTTTTTAATTCAAAATATGCATATCACCGATGCATACGAACTGGCAGCTAGAAATGACTCGTCGAATGTTCCTTTTGACCAAGGGAGAATGTGCAAGCATTTAGGTCAATGTTCGGAGAAAGGTCGTTTTTGAACCTTTTCCGCGATAGTCAAACACTGCTAGATTCAGTAAGAGACAAACGTATGACACTAATTTATTTTGTTATTGTTCAATGCCTAAGTGTTGAGACGACATGGTACAGTGCGAGTTTGTTATTTCAGATCCCTCAACAGTTGATGATCGTTAAAATTAGAAAATAAGATTGAGTTCGATGAAATAGTCTCCACTTTTGTTAAGACGTAGACACTAATGTTGATTTGCATTTGAAAAGAACCTGAGAGTTTCAATAGTTTAGAATAGAAACACTTTCTTCTTATCATAGGCTTTACGAACGACTTGTAATAGGAGTTGTTACTTCGTTCTTGTTCAGAAACTGTTGATTTTATTTAATTAGAAAATCAGACTGAGTTATTTTTGTGACTGTACGCAATAGTCACCACTGTTGTTATGACATTTCGTATCAATGATGATTCGCATCAGAAGAAGCAAAGATTTATTGTTACAATTTCAATCGTTCGAATGCAGTAGTTGTTCGCATCTAATTCTTGCGTATACTATAGTAAATGCGGCAGGATTGGAACGAAATGGCTGTTTTTCTTTACCTTTATTGAGGAATCTTGTGTTGTAATTGAAAATAACATAGACAAAAAGCTTGCAAATAGAATTAGTCCCCAAATATGATACAAACGATGCTTAAAAGGAAAGTTTGGTAGGGGATCCAAATTCGCGAAGGGGGGTTCATATCTGTTAGCGGATTTGGACCGGGGGGTCCATATCCGCTAGCGGATTTGGACCGGGGGGTCCATATCCGCTAGCGGATTTGGACCGGGGGATCCAAATCCGCGGGGGGGGGGTCCAAATCCAACTTCAGTTTCTGGATCTCCGCAAGTAACTTCAAATGTCTTTTTTACAACTACGCAAGGGAACGACCTGAGATATGCAACGTCGGTCTTCTCGATAACTATATCCAAAAGTCCCACCAGCGAATGATTTAAATGAACAGCAAATCTCCTAGTTAGCATGTAAGATAGGATGCTTATACGACAGATCAATTAGCTAAAGCAGTATGTAGCTTGTCAATCGAATTGAACTTTGTAAACATTCTTTGACTTCCGCCGGCAAAGGATCCTTGATGGATCTGGACATTTTAGTTTTCTGAATACTGTAATTCTTGGAAGGTTTTTATAGATATGAAAAGAGGGAAAAAACCCATCTCTTGTTATTTCGTAGGTTGATCCATCTTTGAACTTATATGTGTCATGCTTGTCATGCAACTAATATAATCATGTGGAGAAGATTTACAAACTGCAAATTAAATCTGGCTAAAATGTGGCAGAGCATAACTTGATCATCGAAACAGCTAATAAAATTAGAAATAAACAAGGTAAGAGTATCATGTTAGATTTCTTTACAAACTGTAGTGATTTATGCCATTAAACGGTGGCGACAAGTAGGCACACCATGTATATTTCATAGTCGCTAGCAAGGAAATTTTGCGGGACTTTGAGTTCGTCTCAAGATAGAACAACACAAATACACAAGGAAATTTTACAGTAACTTTATAAACATCCTTTTGTCTTTTAAAAGCTCAGTAGATTCTGTCCTATCGGTCATTGTTAAAACTGTCTTTGTTTCGATGCTACTTTTTGACATGGAAAAAGTATGTCGGACAAAAATACTCACCAAAAAATAAATATTTCTTTGCCAGCTTCAATAATGACAGGGGATTAAGTTTAGATGATGAAACAAAGGATTATGCCGACAGAAATATCGGAGGTCAAGTGAATTCATTACATGAGGTCACACGACTTGGGTAATATTCAGGGTGAAAATTTGCAAATTTGAGCGGTCGAACAAAAAATATCATTTTACGAAAAATAAAATATATTTTCACAAAAAAAAACTACACCACAATTATAAGGACATATTGGGCTGCAAAATATGAAAGTAGGAGAGAAAACGAATTTTGGGCGACTTGCCACAATGTTTCAAATTTGTTCGATGGATGCTGACATCCTCTCTTAACAATACCTGCTCTATTCAGGTGGTTCACCGTATCCAAGGATGGATGGAAGAAAAATTGCAAACTTACTTCAAGAGGGATACAGAATGCCTAAACCACAACATGTGGATGATAAGTTGTATGATAATATCTTGTTATTGTTCCCTGGTGGCTTTTATTGACAGTAGTATTCGTACCGCTTTTTGTTTGAGTTGCATGTGCGCCCTAAGATTCAAACATCTTTACTTGCTGAACCAGCCTAACGAAGGAAAATGAAAGAAGAAGTACACCATCACGATTTGATATCTGTTATATAGATCGTTTGTCCTTTATTATAACAAGATGGAATTTTTACCAAAAAAAGACCAAAAAGCTTGTTTCTTAAGGAAAGGTCTAACTGTTTCTACTTAAACTTTTTTTTTTGACGTCCTTTTAGGTATGACATAATGACAAAATGTTGGAAAGACGACCCTAATTTGAGACCATCTTTTGAGAAGTTGAGAGACAAACTCAAAGAAATGGAAAACCGGCATAAGGTAGAATGGTAGAGTTTATAAAGAGAATCTTCTTGTTCTTTTTTTTTCCTTTTCAAAGTGTGATTGTTAGAATCTACCATCATCAACTAAACTTGATAACGGCGTCACCATGAAGGCTTCGAAACTTAGTTTATGGTTTCAATTTATTTCGCTTTTACAGCAGTTTGTAATTGAGTTTCGAAAGTGGAAATCGAACGTGAGCACTAAAACTAATTCCAGCCTGATCACAAACTTTTATCCGAGCTTAAAGGAGGTTGCCTGATTCTACTTTGAGTTCAGTTGGTTAATGTTGATGTTAACCTTTGTTCTGATTGATAGTTGTGAATACTTTGGGCTTAATTTTTCAAGGGCTAGGTTTAGGGTTAGTTGGTTTTTCGACAACCAATCTAAGACTTCTCTATCTAAAATTAATTGTATCAGCAATATACTCTTTTTCTAGGTAAAAAAATTGAAGAAACCCTCGAAAGCTTAACAGAGTATAGTATAATTTAGACACATTTTTCATATTTTTTCGTATGTCTTTTTTTTTTTTACAGGGGCTGATAAACTTAAAAAATTACGATGATCGACTCTACGTAAATGTCAACGATCTTGCCGTCTGAGCGAGTGATTTCTCATACAGGAAGGGATGGAGTAATGAATATTGCAGTCCTATGACATCATCTTCTATTTTCCTTATATATTTTACATTTAGCCATATTTTTGCTGATTAATCAACTCTTTTAAACAAGCCGTTTGACAACGAAGCGAGGCAAAGTGCAGCTTTCATATATTACATATTTTTATACTTTTCGTCTTGGAAAGGCAAACGATTTTGTACTAACGAGTTTAAAAGCTGCAACCCTTATTTTCCCCCCCTAGCATTATAGATTTTTTATAAGTTTTTTCACAAAAAAACATGTATTTTATTTTAAAATATCCTACGAATCCACACAAAAAATATTCCAATGTTGCATCTGCTGTCCCTTTTGTTATTTTTTGAAATTTTGCGGATGAATCTTTTGTCGTAAAAAATTCCTTTATTGATTAAGGTGGCCCAGTAGAGAAACAGTAATATTTTTAGAGTAATATTTTTTTAACCAAAGTACTGATCACTTTCATCACAAATCTTAACTTTTATGAAACTTTCTAAATGGTTGCAATGGGTTTATAATGGCCTAGTTATTCTGTAAAAATAAAGAAAACAGTTTAAGAATCCAAGGGCTCACTCAGTTTCTATCGATTTTAATCATTCCCCAACATATTTGCAGAGTACTGAGATTCTGATTCCTTTGTTTCACTTAGAATTTTTAACGATGAAAGTCATAAGACGTTGTCCCTTTTAAACTGTGCATTATTTAAGTCTTTCATTTCAATGAAACAAGATTAAAATTATCTGCAAAAAGCGATCATGGCATGCGATCGAGAAGTTGACAACTACAGAATTTAACAACAATTCGGTCATTCGCGCTTCACAAGAGAAACGAGAAAATATACAGAAAGCCCCACCACACTTTGTTAAATGCGGCTTTAGAACGGCTCGATTCACAAGCCAAACAGAAAGTAAATTATGACATCAGCCCAGGAAGTCATAACACTGACGTATTTCCGCTTCTTGGTGCTTTCGATCTCTCAGGCTCCCCTTAGGTATAAATGTTAATGATCACGGTTAAGCGGGGTCACCTTAACTAGCTGGGGTCCCTCACCTGCCTGGGGTCCCCGGCCTACATGTATACAGGCCCTTATAAATAAATATAAATAATTTGATTCTTTTTTTCAGCGGCAGCCGACGAGATGGAAACAAAGCGGAACCAGGAGGGTTAGGGTTCTTCATTCCACTCTCATTCATCACAGAATTATACGATTAAGACAGATTTTCCTTAAATTCATCAGGCTTCTAAGTAATTTAAATCGATAGGCTTCATTAAATTCCGGGCTGTTTGTAAACTGCTGGTCAGTGTACCGGGTTTCGAGATTTTCCAATTCTGATCCAATTTGGGTTTTGTTAGTTCCTGCCATTCCAGATTTCTTTGCTAAAACTGCACCATAGGCAGACCCACAGTATGCGTTCGTGCTTAATAATTGTCTTTGACATGAGACGAACATAATCTGCGAGGGTTATGAATAACGCCCTGAAAACTGCATATCCACATTACATCTCGGTCTGAATACCTCAACAAAGTTAAATGAAATGTAAATCGATGCCATTATGGTATTTTTCGCTCTCATGGGCCGTTTAAAGCGTCTTTTCGCGAAATTACTTTTGGCTAGTGGCCTTTAAGAGAAGAAAGGGTGACTTTGTAACCCTTTCTTGTTAAAGGCCTCCGGTTCAGTTCGCGGTTTGTATTGAGTTTAGATGACAGCAGCAGATTGCTGTGCCTTTTAGATTACTCAAAATTAGAGGAAAGCTGTTCTTGTTTTAACGAAATCGAAAACGTGAGTTGTTTCAATATAACTGCGATCTAAATTTTCTCCTTCAGGTAGCGGGAGTGTCACATGGAATGAACCTACTCCGGTTAGGACAACATCAAATCCAACTAAAGTGCTTCCTCCTGGCACTCAAAAGGTTTATGAAGGATTTCCTGTGACGCTGAATTGGAACTACAGTCTGGCGTCGGGTCTAAGTCTTGGTGTCGTAAAATTCAACAGTGCTGGTATAGTCAGCATTAGAGCAGATAGTTCAGCTGGTCCTGTAAATGCTTTATTTTTCAGAACCGGCGTAGTGTTAGCTCGACTACTAAAAGAGCTTTTCTGTTAAAAACAGAGACGTAATACTTCATGTCAGCATCTTAGGAAGTGTATAGGGAACGGTATGAAGGATGTGCATTCTGATGTTACTACTGGTGTAATAGCTTTAGTTTAAAGCTTTTATATTTGAAATCAGATTTCACACTAACTATGGTTTATCTTAACCCAGCTTTGAACAACACAGCTCCGAAGTTTAAATTCCTGCTCTGCTTTCATACTATTTCACATGCATCAGAATAATAATCAATATCATACATGTTTCATATTTCAAAAGGTTTATGAAGGATTTCCTGTGAAATATATACATACAGTCTGACGTCGTGTCTAAGTCTTGGTGTCATAAAATTCAATAGTAATGGTATAGTCAACATTAGAGCAGATGGTTCAGCTGGTCCTGTTAAAGCTAAATTTCAGAAACAGCTTAAATAGTGTTAGCTCGACTACTAAACGAGCTTCTCTGTTTGATATACAGACGTAATACTACACTTCTTTCGTGCTCTAGCCGCTTCCTGCGTGCTTTACAACAGAACAGAGTACAGTCAGGGCTTCTCTATTTGTTAACTAGGTTATGATGGCAATGATCTCAATTTCGAAATGAAGCTTTGATTTTACTGTCAGAAATACAAGACAACAACTTCACTTGACATGGTTTCGAGATTTCTAAACAAGAAATACAGTAGAACCCAGTTAATTCGAACTTGGTCATTTAATTTACTTTCTCTTTGCTCAAATTCACTCTGATAACTCGAAGTAAAACTGTCACTCGATAAATGTCAAAGTGTCGTGACAATTAGCTCATCCAAAGGTTACCAGTCGTTTCGTACCCAGCCTGGTCAATTCGTAGCCAGTCATTAGGGTTGTTTTGTACCCAGACTGAAGAAGTCTTGGTGTCGTAAAATTCAACAGTGCTGGTATAGTCAGCATTAGAGTAGATGGTTCAGCTGGTCCTGTAAATGCTTTATTTTTCAGAACCGGCGTAGTGTTAGCTCGACTACTAAAAGAGCTTTCTGTTAAAAACAGAGACGTAATACTTCATGTCAGCATCTTAGGAAGTGTATAGGGAACGGTATGAAGGATGTGCATTCTGATGTTACTACTGGTGTAATAGCTTTAGTTTAAAGCTTTTATATTTGAAATCAGATTTCACACTAACTATGGTTTATCTTAACCCAGCTTTGAACAACACAGCTCCGAAGTTTAAATTCCTGCTCTGCTTTCATACTATTTCACATGCATCAGAATAATAATCAATATCATACATGTTTCATATTTCAAAAGGTTTATGAAGGATTTCCTGTGAAATATATACATACAGTCTGACGTCGTGTCTAAGTCTTGGTGTCATAAAATTCAATAGTAATGGTATAGTCAACATTAGAGCAGATGGTTCAGCTGGTCCTGTTAAAGCTAAATTTCAGAAACAGCTTAAATAGTGTTAGCTCGACTACTAAACGAGCTTCTCTGTTTGATATACAGACGTAATACTACACTTCTTTCGTGCTCTAGCCGCTTCCTGCGTGCTTTACAACAGAACAGAGTACAGTCAGGGCTTCTCTATTTGTTAACTAGGTTATGATGGCAATGATCTCAATTTCGAAATGAAGCTTTGATTTTACTGTCAGAAATACAAGACAACAACTTCACTTGACATGGTTTCGAGATTTCTAAACAAGAAATACAGTAGAACCCAGTTAATTCGAACTTGGTCATTTAATTTACTTTCTCTTTGCTCAAATTCACTCTGATAACTCGAAGTAAAACTGTCACTCGATAAATGTCAAAGTGTCGTGACAATTAGCTCATCCAAAGGTTACCAGTCGTTTCGTACCCAGCCTGGTCAATTCGTAGCCAGTCATTAGGGTTGTTTTGTACCCAGACTACTATAGTATGTTCTATATGTTAAGTATCTTTCAAATAAGGTCGGTCTCTTACTTTAAATGGCAACATTCCCTGCCTTAAATAAATTTCCTTTCCGTGGTGCCCATTTTTATATACGCGACTAGCGAATGATGTATGTTTCCCTTTGTTAAAATAAATGAATTTGTTACCTCTAACAACGAGGGGAAGAAAAAAATCAGGAGTCTTTCCTTTTTCAAAAGTATCCAGTGCTTTAACACATTCTTCAATAGTTATAAGTCCTTCTCAACTTAGTCTATCTTCCTCAGATAATTTTGTAATTCTAGTTTCACCAAGAAAGTGTCTCAAAATATCAGGCTGCACCGTACTATCTTTCCTACTATAAAGGGTTATATAATATATTGAAGACGAGTCTTGTATTTTTTTCTTAATTTGTTGCAATAACTCCACTTTGACAGAGTTTTTAATATTTTTCCTTGTATGGTTTTTTTCTCCTGACTTAAAAATTACTTTGTACTCTTCCACATATTCGAACCATCTCGCCCTCGAACGCAAATTAATCCATCGACTTTCTCGTCAAAAACTTTTGCTATTTAAGTTTACATTTGAATCTCTTCAAATTCTTCACAAGGGTTCTGTTTAAATCTTATTTGTGCAGCTTAGAGTTTCTTCGGCAGACTTTCCTCTTTCTCTCTCTTAATTTAAGTTAGCTCTTTTGAGTATTGCATTGAAAAAAGACGGACATTATGTATAATCCAATCCCAAGCAACCCTTGTATCTGAGAATTCAGTTTCCCTTCATTTTTCCATTCCTCCAGATATGTTTTCATTTGTTTGATAAAATTATTGATTTTTAAATCTTTACATCTCTGACGCCGTAACGGAGAAAGTGAGAGACGACCGAAAGAAGCTGAGGGACTGGCATATTAACGAAATTCGATCACGAGAAGGAGTCGACTTCTCCTACATTCCTTGGAATGTCCCCGCGCATGTTCTCTTTTAAGTTAAAGATTCACACAAATTGACATCTTTCTTCTTGCCAGTTGAGTGAGCATGTATTTTCCTTTTTATTTATTAATTTTTTATTTTCATCTGGTTGTTTTCTCACTATACCGTTGTACATGTATAGTAAGTAATATATTTAAGTGTTATAATTATTTCACAAATTGTGATGTGTTTATTATTTGATTAAAAATCCTATAAGTTAGCTAGGCATTACCGATTTGGAAGAAAGAAAAGTTATAAATTATGGTATGGACTGGACATGGCTGTTGGAGGAAAGGATGCGAGACTCCTTCAGTAAAAACTCCGTCAGTTTGTTCTCGTAAAATTTTCCCACCAAAATTCTGTTACGTTCGTGTTTTCGAGTTATTAAAAATAATAATAATAACTCTATGTTAGCGTATAGGGAGTGGTATGTTGTTCACACCAATCAGATTGTTTAAGGTATGTATCTCGCACCAATCAGATCGCTGCATAAGGGTATGTATCTCGCACCTATCACAGCGTCGTTTTTTTGAGACATGCTGTGAAAATGGTTGATAGTTGTTCGAGAGAAATGGAGTTCTGTGCACTATGGCACGATCATGATTATTATTCCTTCACGACAAGAGTGAGGGGAAGGATTTTGCATCAAATGTCTGTTGAGGTGTTGATGAATTGCACCAAATATTTTGATTTGAGCAGTTCTTTAACGGCAAGCTGTGTTGCAAGATTCATGATTTGTTGAGTGTGCCGATTATATTTTTCTGGATTGGTTTGCTCGGTGCTATCTTTAGATAAATGTCTGATTAAAATTAACTCTGGGCGATTTTGTGTGGCTCCTAGGAAGCTTTTTTTTTCGTGTAAAAGCGATTGCGTGACGCTCGGTAAGTTGTAAGATGACATGTTATCACATACCAGACGAAAAAACACTTTAAATTCTCGGTCTGCATTTTGTACCTACTCTTCAGTCTGCAGCCTACAGTCTACAATTTGTACCAAGTCTACATTTTGTATCCGGTCTGCGCTCTACATTCTGCATTTTGTACTAACAGGTATCCGTGGCACCAATACATTCTATTTTTAGTTGCAGATATTCGCACAACACACACAGTCGACCACAAAATACCTGTGTGTGAGTTAATTCGAAATTTTCGTTCTTTTCAGCGTTAATACTCTTTCCTCTCGTAAAAATTTAGACATCACTTACAATGTTTCAATCAATCCACCTACCCCCCAAAAAATAACTCTTGCATGCATAGAATTCCTATGTTCATATGTGTCTATGTGTTTTGCACGTTGCAGATCCTTCTGAACTTTTACATCTGTTATATCCATTGTTAGCATCCTTCCACAGACTTTTCTCCCTTCAGATTATTACTAAAAATGAATTACGATGGGTTCTTGGATGAGAATTGATGAATTTAAACATCAATACAAGTAATTGACAACATAGTACATTACGATACAAAAGACAAATGGAAAGTACATCTCTATTTAACACTGGTCAAAGTTTTTTCCAATTAACGTATACTCACAAGTAACATTTACATGAACTGTTGGTTTCTCTAGTTTACCAAAGCTATTATATGATGTAAAGGTGAATTCTACTTCATCAGTCCTGTTGGTGTTTGTTATAGTCAGCACCTTTCCTTCTTGCACCACAACAGTATTTCCTTGGTTCACTGTTTCTCTTTGGTCCAAGTGTTGTTGGTTCTGGTCGACCCAAAGCTTCGCAGGTTGACTGCAAGTTTCTGCCTTCAAGAACAGTTGGTTTACCTCTAATTCCAGCGATATTTGTTAGAACTAAGAGAAATTTAAAAATCACAAGTAAAGTTCAAGGATAATTGAATGGCATGTAGACATATTCTAAAAAGCAACATGCTAAAGTGATAATACTGTTAATGTGATTTTTAAACGTTCTTTTCAAACATGCAAATGAAATTCACATGTGTTATGATTGTGCAAATTATTCACGAACATTTCCTGGATTACAGTCCATTATAAGTGCTTTAGTATGCAAAAATGTCTGCCTTAAGAAATTCGGTAGGCAATCAATAGGCAACTAAATTTTTCTGAATTCCTTTCTCAGCTAAAACTAAACATTATTATTCTATCTGCAGTTTCCGAGAAATAATTGTATAAATTAATATTAAGACTCATTTACATTTACAAAAACATTTTTTGAAAAAAATTATTTCTTCAGGGACTTCAGTCCACCAAAGTGCGAATAGCCAATTATAACTTGTCACCATAAATGACTTCTACAATGTTTCTGGCTGCGAAAAAAGTCATAGTTCTTAATTTAAATCCTTAAAACATCTCCTAGTTTCAGTTCCATATGGTGATCTTTGATGTATAAAATATAAAAGTGCACTGTGAATGGGTAAAGATAAGCTGTTAAATAGTCCTTGATTGTCAGCCAAAGAGGAGGTTGGATGTAACAGCAAGAAATTAAAGAAATCCCAAGAATGGAGAAGGGCCTGTGGTTTAAGCAATCTTCCCTGATTGCTTGCAACCAGCAACCATCAAGAGGTGCTCCTGCAGCCGGCACTATGAATTTGAAATCAAAATTGCTCTCTCCAGAGGAATTGAACCATGGTCTGTCATGTGAAACTGCTAGATAGTTTCCTGCAAATTATGGTTTTGCAGGAAACTATCTAACTGTTTAAGTAAATTAAACGAGTTTATGAAAATAGAGAAAATGTGTTCGGACATTTTTTACTTTTGCAAAAAATTATTATTGACATGACGAACCTTTGCTTGTAGCCTATGAGCACAGGAGTATTGCGAATATTTTCCACTCCTCCCGAAATATAAAATTATTATTAGTTATCTTAGAGCAGAGCCAGAGATATCAAAAGAGGCGAGGAGCGGTCAGTATCAACCCAGGAAGTTCAACGACTTTCTGGCTTGATGGCGTCATATGTACTTTCTTCTATTCTTACGGAGTTCTGAAGCCGTTTTAGTAGAATCTGCCGACAGATTTCCTTTTTATTTTGTCGTTGCATGATCATCGTCTGGAACGCGAATAACCGAGCTTTTAGCGAGGAAACAACCTGCAGGTCTGTTCATAAATATTGATGAAATCCTAAGTTATCAGCTTCTTAAGCTTTCAGCAATGGAGGACTTTTTTTCTCGTGTTTAAATAGCCTCATCTAAACAGGAGGGAGGGGGTGGTTGGGAGAATTCCAAAAAAATGTCGGGGGTTTGCATAACCTTAGAAAATTCTCCCAACCCCCATCCTCAACGAGTGTTTTGATGAGGCTCAAGTCCTTTATTGCTTTTCTTAGATATTTCTCAAATATAATTATACACATATGGGATATTTTCACAACCGTGTTACCCTCATCTAAACACACCTATCAACCAACGAGAAAACGTTACTGTCTTAAATATTCTCCTAGAAAGGATAATTAAATGATAAAGATCTGTAGAAAATGAGGTCACTTCATTTTTTTACACCAATTATATTAACTCGTTTCCTTTCCTAAATAGTTGGGCCAGTATATACAATATACAACCGTCCTGACCATACAAAGCCATAGTGTAGCCTATAAGCACAGACATATTTCGAATATTTACCGCTCCTTTCGACTTCTCCCACTCATCCCGAAATATGAAATTATTGTTAGTTATTTTTAGAGCAGAGCCAGTATATACAATATACAACCGTCCTGACCATACAAAGCCATAGTGTAGCCTATGAGCATTTCTCCCACTCCTCCCGAAATTTAAAATTATTATTAGTTATTCTTAGAGCAGGGCCAGTATATACAATATACAACCGTCCTAACCATACAAAGGACTTGATATATGACCCAAAGAGGCAACCGCTTCATGGCAAGTTTCACTGGACAACAGAGACAACGAACCAGTTTACTCTGTAGCAACAAATGGTCTACTTTTAGGGCTCAACTAAACCTGCTTACACTTGCCTTGAATGTCTCCACGTAGAGTGGCGTGTTTACCGTCTAAATAAAAAAAAACCTTTCAAAACAGCAATTATCAAGCCTTGTAAGATACAAATGGGAATATTTATTGCGTGAATTTGCACGCACATTTCAAAAGAAATTACATGTTTTGTTTTTCAAAAATTCTAAAAATGTATAGCACTGAGGAAAAATATGGGTTGCAGCTTCTGCAGTCCTTTCTAAAAAATCTTTTGCCCCTTCGACTAAGAATTTAAAAGATATACATATCAGAATTTATGGAACGTTCACTTTGCCTCGCTTAACTTTAAAAAAACTTTTTGTAGACTTGCTTCATCAGCAAAGAATTAAAAGTTAACGTCAAATATATAAAGAAAATAGAGGATGATCCTATGGGGCTGCAACATCCATTACAATTCTGATTGGTTCTTAGTTGGTCGGTATTTTAACATACGGACCGTTTCCTATTTACAGACTATAATCCTAATCTTACAGATATCTTCTTCTTCTATTAACTCACTTAAGATCTACTGGATGTTCGTAGGTTTAATAAAACACTGGGTTTTGTCACGTCTAGACAAAAACCCATTTCGAGGCTTGATCGAAGGCATTTTAACAATCCATGATTATTACTGGTATATTTGACCAAAAGTTTGAAATATATGCAGATACATGAAAATGTATAAAAGCTGTACTTTGCTTCGCTTCGCTGTTAAACAGCTTGTTTTGAGGAGTTACTTGAACAGCAAATTATTAGAGGTTTTAAAGGTTAACCTCAAATATATAAGGAAAAAAAAAGATGATCTCCTGGGACTGCATTTTTCATTACTCCATCCTTTCCTGTATGAGAACTTGCTGGCTCACACGGCTAGATCTTCGACATTCACGTAAAGGTCATGGTCATAATTTTTTAAGTTTATCAACCTCTGTAAAAACAGAAATGAAAAAAAGGAGTGAAACATGACGAAAAAGTGCCACTTTGATCATTCACATAAACTATACTTTGCTTAACTTTCGATAGTGACTTAATTTTTAACCCTTTTAAACAAAGACAACCATCGAGTAATCACAACCATCAATTAGAACGAAGGTTGCCATCATCATTAGCCAATGAGAAATCAGAGTAAAATCAGGCAACCTGTTTCAAGCGCGGGAAAACGCGACTGACCAAGTTGAGATTGGTTGCACTTTTGTATTTGATTAGTTGAGATGGTAGCGCAAGTTTTCTCGCAAGGAATCAAAGCAATCTAGGACTATTTTTGGTATTCAATTAAATACTAATCTAGAAGCGAAATAAACTGAAACCACGAACTACGCTTCGAAGCCTTTTTGGTGAGACTGTTATCGAGTAAAGTTGATAGCGATAGATTCAAACGTTCAAATTTTCAAAAGAAAAAAATAGTGAGAGAGAGTCTCGGTATCCGGTCGTTCCGCCCGAACTTCGAAGTCACTGCGCCCGATGTATATATCGTCTTATCTATGAAATGTGTAGAGTTCTTTAAAATGGTATCTTAAATAAAATAAGTGTTTTATGAGTTTTTGTAACGAAATACAACATGAATGGTTTTTAAATTTTTTTCTGAGTTGTATACTGACTCGGCGGTAAAATTCGTCTCGGCTACGTTCCGTTCACTGTTTGCATGACCGCCATAAAAAGCATAACTTAGACAAATTTGGTATCCCATTCTTAAGCCCGTAGAATCATTTCGTTTCCGTGGTAGTAGCATTTTCAGGGAAATATCTTACAAAACCAGACATTTTATTCAACTGACATCACAACTGACTTTTTACCTCAAATATTTGGCCTCGATGCGTCTATTTCATAACAAAATGATTTCGCTTTTGATCGCTGAAGTTCCGAAGAAATTAAATATTCCAGCGGTTGAATGAGCAGTTGTTTTGATAACACGGTCAAAATATATCTACAAACATTACTGAAAGAAATTTTAAAAATGGAATAACAGCTTTATCTTTGTAAGTTGATGCACTGTCTCTCTGAGTTTGTTTCTCAACTTCTCAAAAGATGGTCTTAAGTTGGGTTCGTCTCTCCAACATTTCGTCATTATTTCATACCTGAAACACAAGGATGTTATGGATATCTTGGTAAGTCATTGGTGGCCTAGAAACGGTCCAATCTATTCATGATGATTTCCTCTCTTTTATAACAAGGAAGAAAAGGTATATAACACAGTTATAAACTCGTGATAATGTACTTCTCCTTTCATTTCCCTTCGTTAGGCTGGTTCAACAAGTAAAAATGTTAAATCTTGAGGTGCACATGCAACCCGAACAGAAGTAGGAAAAATACCATGTTCTATAAAAGCCATTAAAAAAAAACAAACAAACAAAACAAGAAAAACCAAAAAGCAACAAAAGCAACACCATATTAACGTACAACTTATCATCCAAATGTTGCGGTTTAGGCATTCTGTATCCCCCTTGAAGTAAGTTTGCAATTTTTCTTCCATCCATTCGCGGATACCTGAATTAGAGTAGGTAATGTTAAAATACTCTAAAATGAAAATCTTTACAGATGTAAAGAATTAAACTCAACAATTCCTTTTTGTATCAGTCCAGCGACAGTGGCAATTTGAACTAGCTTGATAGTTATGGAACACATGGGCAAAACTGAAAACTCCAGACTAGCCAGAATAACTTACCAATTGTGAAAATCTCATAGAGAAGAATGCCGTAGCTCCACCTGTAAAATAAACGGGATGAGTTTAAGGAAATAAGAAATACGAAAATGAGCATAACCACTCCCTCCTGAGATGACCCCACATCAAGAAAATACAAAGACCAGGATACAGTAGTGACCCAATAACTTTTCCCAGACCTAAACACAATTCATACAAAATAATCTCATTAAGCCTACATGCAGTGTCCATGTCTTCATTGTACTCACACATCACTCTTGGTAGAATACTTTCCGTAAAGCAACGCCTCAATAGCAGTCCATCTTACAGGGAGACGCCCCTGAATAAGAAGAAAAAATGCAAGGAGTTAGTGTAGTCCTTAAAAGTGCTAATGCTCCAAATGGCGAGAACAGTGTAACGAACGTTCTTGAAAAAATAAACAGGATTTACTGAGCTTGTTTTCCTTAAGCAGTCACTCCAGTGAGGCATGTTCAGCCACATAATCTAGGGCTTACAAGAACATTATGTGTTTCCTTAAAATAATTCATACCCTGGTTTTTCTTTCGTAAATATTGTCCTCCTGAACATCTCTGGCCATTCCAAAGTCTGTCACTTTGCACGTTTCCCCTTCTCCAACCAACACATTACGAGCTGAAAGATCTCGATGGATAACCTTCAACAAAGCGAAGATGTTTCTTTTGGAAAACACCCTTTAACGAATTAAGAGACAGCTGACATGGGATGACATGGGATGATATGGCATCCTTGTGAATGCGGTGTAATGAGGTATTGCGAGGGTGAGCCTTATTCTCTAAAGACATCACTCAAAGAATAGTTACATCACTCACTGGTATTGATGACAAATAGGACATTCCATCGGCAATTTCCCAAGCAAACTTTATCAGCTGCTGAGAAGTCAGATTTGTTTGTGGTTTAATATCCGGGTCTTTGTAGTAAGTATCACTTAATCCACGGCTCTTTCTCAAGTAACCCAGCAGATCCCCAAAGGGAACATATTCGATCAAAACCAACAGTGGCTCTAGAAAGACAAACAAGGTAACGCTAATACTGATTAAACGCAACACATGGAAGCAGATCTACGAATAAATGTCGCTCTTCCGATAATCGCCGCCGCCACTTGGAAGAGTACGACGTTCATTTCATGAAGATAAGAAAATAAGATATCAACTACCGTACAATTCGTTAATATTTAAAATCCTTGTAAAATTATTTTAAAAGCCAGGTGGCCACAAGTTTCTAAATTCGGGAAATTAATTATAAAAAGGGTAAGATGTCGATGCCACGCATTAAACTTTTGCTGATGGCAGGTCATCTTTCACCATCGTGGCCTGCTACTGAAAAGGTTCCCGCCCTCTATATTTATATCGGAGCGGCTCATATGCGCAATATGAGCGTAAACCTTGCGCATTAAGGTATAGTGTGAACTCGTTTATGATCCATCATTAAATTTTGCTGACTTTAGATCTCAGCTGTTGAGTATACACACGCTGCTATTTAGCAGAAAAGTTTAAACTGCGACTATTTCTGTGCCGTCTGAGTGGCCGTATCCAGATCTGACACGATAGAATAGAATTAGGCCAAGCTTTATGCGTCGGTCAACGGATTTTCCAAAGGTTAACCTGTATCCTATACTTCGAGTGATGAGCGGAACTCTAGGTGTGAGAAAAACTAGGGTCTCAAGCTAATAATAAACATTTCAGAACTTACCAGATTTGGTAACGCATCCCAGGAGTTTGATGACGTAAGGATGAGGTTTAAGTTGTTTCATCAATTCAAGTTCAGATAGCAAATTCTTTTTCTCTGATTCAGAAGCATTTTCTGCAACATAGTTTCCGATCAATAATCTTCAAATGACATTTCACATAAAATCACAAACATATCATTCAACTGTGCCATTTATATGGGTAAAAGTGCAGTGATAGATGAATAGAAAGATTGATAGGTAGATAGAAAGATAGAAAGATAGATAGATAGATTGATATATTGATAGATAGATAGATAGATAGACTGACTGATAGATAGATAGATAGATAGATGAAAAGAGAGAGATAGCTAGATAGAAAGAGACTGACACTCCAACAAACAGACAGACAGATAGATATATAGACAGATATACAGATATATAGATAGATAAATAAGTAAGTAAATAGTAAGATAGATAGATAGATAAATTGATACACAGATAGGGAGATAGATACATACATACATACCGGTAGATATAGATATATAGATAAATATTTAGATAGACAATTAAATATTTAGTTGGATAGATAGATACCAGACAGATAGATATATATATTGGTTGATTGATTGATTGATTGATAGATAGATACACAGATAGATAGATAGATAGATAGATAGATAGATAGATAGATAGATAGATAGATAGATAGATAGACAGGTAGACAGGTAGATAGAAAGGTAAATATATAGATAGGTAGATAGATAGGAAGATAGATAGATACCATCCATTTCTACCATACATCATATTTCAGGTGCTTTTCTTCATCAATGTAGAGCGCTGAGGCTCGAAAATGTAACCATCATTTGAGGGGAGACGTTTATATAAAAAATCTTAAAGAACTAAAAACAGAAAAAAATGGACAGAAAACATAAAAAAGAAAAATCTGGACAAACTTCAAGGTCTGACCAAAGACCATGAAATACAACATGATTTCAGCATTACTTGGTACCTGACAACATTTTAACAGCTACGAGCGTCTTCTTGGTTCTCCCTTGAAGGTTATCGGCTGTTGCCTTGGCAACCAGACTAAAAGCACCTTTTCCAACGATCTGTTTTATCGTCACGTGTTCTCTAGGAATCTCACAGGAGCGTGTGTATGGATCAAGAGAAGTGTACTCGCTGATTTGTTTATTGCTGAGTGGACTGGCATCTGCTGTCACTTGTGAACGAGCTCTGTCTTCCAGTGCCATGTAATGGCTTTGAGAAGGTTTAGGCAATTCTACTGGAATCTTAGAAAAAAAATTGTTTTCAATTTCATAAAATACACCAGTATTACTTGAACGACGTATTTTACTATATCAAGGAATAATCACCTATATTCCTTATGGATCATAACCTCTGGGTTTGGGTAAACTGTCAACCACAATGAAAAGAGATTCGGTAAAGGCAGCAACTTAAGAAAAAAAGCGCCTTAGACCACAGGACGATGTATCTATACAAGGTAAAAGATTTCATCGTTTGACCTACATTTGTACTTTCTCTTCTTTCATTGTTTGAATTTCCGAATGTTCTGAAACAAGAACAAATATATTGTAAAACTAGTAATAATCAAAGATTAGTAAAGTGCGTTCGATCCCTAATAAAAGTTTTTTCTCTTGTGCTGATTGCGCAGAAAAAAAAAACGGTGTCTTCAGCTCAAGGCGGCCAAGAAAACACCTGCACATGAGATGGAAGCAATTTGTGCCACATAGCCAGCCAGCCAGCCCAGCCAGTCCAAAATGGCTCCCAATTCCTGAAATCGCATGGCATCACGATCAATCCTCTTGTGACTGGTCCATAAGACTCTTGAGAGTGATTTCCGCAAAAACGACACGATTAGTATGCGTTCTCCTTCGTCGAACGCAATAAAATCAATCCCTCAGCCTGAAAATTCAAAAATAACAGAGAAACTTTCCAGAAAGCTAATTCCGGTTAGAATTGCAGCTGGAAAACAGATGCAGGCTCAGCTACAGTCAGATCTTTAGAGTGGACTTGCCCTGAATTTCCAGAGGGGATCTCGCATCCTCTAAGTTCACGCAGTGCTTTTGATAAAAATTGTTGTGAATCGCCGGCTACTTTCCGCGCCCAGGTCCAATTTTTAGAACAAAAAAAATTAATAAGTAACAAATAAAATAATTTTCAATTTTATCAAATTCTGTGGTCTTTGATATTTAGATTCATTCTTTGTCTGGGAATTTTCTTTTTCTCCTTGTTTCGCATGTTTTACATAAATTTATCAAGCGCTAAGTGCACATAGTTGTTTACTTAAATAATTTTAATGCCAACTTTGTGGTGAACTAAATAATCAAATATTTTTAGACAATTCTTCTCAACTGCTAGTTAGAAAACAAACTCGAGAGTCAGAATTGACAAAATAGCGCACTTATCGATATTTTAAAAGTTTGCATAAAAAACGCTTTCCCACGGCTTAATTAGAAAGAAAGGAACAAAAACAGCTATTGAACACTTAGCGTCTAACTTTCAGTTTAAAAAAAAGCTGCATTTGCTGTGAAAAGCGAGGAAGACTCATGGTTACTGGTTTATTTCGTTCTTACACGAAATTTCCAGAAAAAAAAGATGAAGAATTTCCAAGAACATACTGACTCAAATTTCAGTAAACAGTAACCTTCCTTTCAGAGGACTTTTACGTGAAACTCAGGGAGCAGGTTTGCATGTCAGCGAATGGAAGATTTTGATCAGAAAAAAACGATGAGTTACAAAAGAAAATTAAAATATTTAATGATTGTTTACCGAAGTGTAATACAAAAAACTCCAATTGAAGCCAGTTCATTCTGAATGCCGGGAGCTACTGGGTTAACGAAAGGGAAATTATTCTCCATTTTATTCTCCGGCAGGTGCTTTACTGAGGTATCCACCTACTTCAAATCTCACTGAGAGCACTGTTCAAGTATTGAAAGTTTCATTTCCCTCAGTGACGAGGTGAGGGAAAAAGCATCATGTGCTCAAAGTGGCCATATAGATAATTATAGACCCGTCTGTGTAAAATAATATGTTTGGAGCAATAGGAATAGTAGTTGTAATAATAATAATAATAATAATAATAATAATAATAATAATAATAATAATAATAATCCCGCTCAGATGGGAGATCCGTCAGCAGTACCCACACTATAAGATTGCACAGTACAACATCATCATCGATGTGCTCGGGGGCGTATCAAGAAAGACACTAGATAGTATTAAAGAACTTGTAGGCGTCAGGGCAGATAAGATCTTACTGGATATGCAAAAGGCAATCATCTCAAGTACCCTTAACATTGCACGGAGTTTCAAAGTTCTCACTGCGCAGGACCTATGAACTGGCCAAACTTTTACCCATAACTTTTTGGGTTTCCAACATCATTTGAGAATTTCTTTATTTTACGAATTATTTTAGGCTATGGTAATGACAAGCTACGCGATTGCGCCTTGTCAATATCTTATTTAAGGAGGCATCCTTACGTTTTACTGCCACGATAATAATTATAATAATGACGCTATGTTCACCAGTCATAAAGTGAGAGATCGCCAAGGGAAAATCGCTCTACTAATGGGGGACACTTAGAAAACTATTACTTAAGCCTGAAGTAACACGCAGCGATTTTTCATTATGTGAAAAGAGTAAGTACACTTGTAGTTGATTTTCTTGTTTCTTTATGTGTTAACGGATCATTAAGATGTTGATTATTGTGCAAGTAACAATCATTGCAACCACTGTAATGATATCTCTTCCGCGCAAGAGTGCCTTTTAGCTAGCGAGTGTCTTACATGATCTATCATTAATGGATCAATCACAAATATTCACATGAAAAACAATATGGGTGTTAAATTGTTAAATAGATTGGTCCATAAGGAACAACGCAGGTAAACAGCAACATTTCAATACAAAGATCTCACCTTCTGCTCATCGCAACCTCTGTGGTGGAAAAACAAGACAAAGAAACATAAAAAGCAAACGAAAACGAAACAAATAATGGATGAACAATCGAAATCAAACAAAATTTATCTCGCACAAGCAAAGTAACGTCTGTTTGATGCGCATCTAGTTGAGTCATAAAGTAAACAATGTCAAGCGTGATCATTTGACTATTATCAAATCAGATTACAAATCAGACAACGAAACATTAATTGTTAGTTAACAATACACTATTTTAAAAGTTATCTGTTAAAATCAAGGACGCTTAAGCAAAGATCATCATGCAGTGGGTAGTGAACTAAAGCTAGTACCCAATCTTAGAAAAAAAAATTACTGATAAATTTCTGGGATGCCAAGACTAGTGTGCATTTGAGAGCATAACATGTATGCAACACTTACCTTCAGTACCTTTCGTGTTGCGTCTCTTTTTCCTCCATGTCCACCAAACTAATATTCCAGCAACAGCCAGTGTAGCAACTGATCCAAACACTGCACCAACAATAATACATACAGTACCTACAAAGCGTGATAAGTTTGAGATAACTTTTTGTGAGTGAAAGCGTGTCTTCTCAAGCCAAACAGTTTGGTCGAGCTTCAGTTGTACTGAGTTTCATTTTTCACAAAAGAACCCTTTTTTTCGCTGAGATTGTAATTTAGGGCTGCGGTGGACATTTATTTGCAAACGAAAATACAAGCCTCACACGCGATAGTTAACCATTCCATGCAACAGAGTAACAAATTTAATTTAGCTTGTAAACAGCAGATGCACTTTTCACCACATCTCAAACCTACGACATTCAATGATCTTAACATAACGGGTCTGCTTCGGTACTCCTGTTTCGGTTAGGAAACCTTTGGAATTCAGTTAGAACTTAATTTATCCTCTTCCCACACTTCATTACAGATATGGAACTTTTTAACAGGCCACACTGCGTATGTACTCGTTCAGAAAAAAGAAGGGATTACAAATTGTTTATGCAAAAGGTTACCAAAAAAAAAAAAAGAAGAAAAATTCATATTGAAAATTATCCGCCCTTTTCAAGCTTAATATTCGGCTAAAATAACAGAGCCACCTACTCCTCGATCCACAAACCTACACCTAAAATCGTTCATAATCAAATCTTTCCTTTTTCGACGCAAGGGTTGGTGGCATACACGAAATGCAACAGAAAAAAAAAAGAAAACCACTAAACCTCTAAGTGTCACTAAATAATAACCAAAACTCAAAAACATTAAAGCTATTTTAATGTTCCCTGAACCAGGAAAATGCAATAGTATTAACGTATGCAACACAAGGAAAATTGTGTCTTTCGACTTACAAATTAAAGCTGGATTCCGCTGGACAGTAAATCATTATGTTTATTTTCAAAAAACTTAATGTCATAGGTGTCTGGAAAGTACTTCATCCGATTAAATTACTCGCTACTTTATATTTACAAAGTCGTTTGTCTTTGAATAATAGTTTACCTCCTTTTGTCCCACTTGGCAGCTCTAAAGATTTAACAGAAAATACGCTCCATTAATTTGAGGACTACTAGCATGGCTGCTATTTTTTGAGAATTATGAGGGCCACTTAGTTATTTTCCTAGTAACCCTCTCAGAAAAACAAAAATGTAAATTAACCATTGCTTACATGTTTTCATTAAAAAAAATCAACAGCTAACTCTGCGAAATGCACAACAAAAGCGTGCGCACGATTAAATGAAGCGTACTGTCCAATTATACAGGCATGACGCATACACTGTCCAATTACCAGCATGGCGTGTATGCTGTCTTACTATCGGTCAGATCAGGCTGGCGATAACCAGTCACGCTCCAGAATTTATTTCTAGTTTTGATTATAACTGTTGGTTTCATTGTGGTTGTTGTTAGCAATGTTATCTTATCATTACACACCAAGCTTTCAGATCTCTGTAAAAACCTACTACAGTGCCACTTTTGCACTGAAAAAAATAATTAATGCTTCCAACCAAGTACAGAGCAAGGCCATTAATTAATCAACTTGCAAAACGTTTGTATTAAGTGTCAGGAAAACTTACCCCCAGAGCATCCTTCAGGTGGTGATGTGGCACCTCCACCTGTTGGTTCCACATTAGGTCTTTTCCATTTTATAGAACCCACACTGAACTCTCCCAGCTTTCCATCTTTCAAGGCGTCATTAAGTGTTGTGATAACATCTTGTTCCTTTGTAATGGAGTTGAATTTCAGTGCAAGGTCAACAGTTATACTTCCACACCTTGGAACAGAAAACGACCGAGGGTTAAACAGACATAAAGTATAAAACAGACAAAAAAAAAAGTAAATAAAATTTGGAAACGTGAACAACTGAATTTACCTACCTAACACTCATTGATTGCACTCTTTCATAATCAAGTTTACCAGCAAATGCTCTTTTAATCTGTTAATAAACATTTGAACTAATAGTCTTAAAATATTAATGTCATGTATCACATATCTATTGTGCATGTACATATAAACAAGTACGTAAGTACAAATGAGAATACATATACATAAGTACAAATGAGGATAAACAGTTAGTTTTGTTTTCCCTTGAGTCCTGATGTTTCCCAACATGAAGTCAAGGGAAACATCAGGACTCAAGGGAAACAAAACTAACTAGTTTCCCAATGGACCATACATTAAGTGCTTTGTTATGTATTTAGACCTTCCCTTAAACAGTCATGTGCTGTTGTAGTCAGCACGCGGGCAACAACTGCACAATTGTCTCCCCGTCAACCAATCACAATGCTTATTGCTTTGTTAAGTGAAAGTCCAGGTATATAACAATAAATATCATTTATTATAATTTAATTGAAAATGGCCATTTTGCTAAGAATCAGCCAAGAATAATTCTATGAGTATTAATGAGTCTGTTTCTTAAAAAGTGCTACTTTAATTAAAAAGTTGCTTCGTTTGTTATCATATGCTTCGTATATTTGTCGCAAAAAAAGCACCTGACCAATTATTGCCCTAAATACAAAGCAAAAGCAAACACTGAATCATAAGAAGATTGTAAAAGGCCTTTTAAGCTCAAGGTCTGACAAAACTTTAATCCTTTATCTCCCAGATCAAATTTCAATTCTTTTTAATGTCAACAATACAGTTCTTATAATGCTAGTTCAGGGAATTTAGTATTGGATCAACTACTAATATCCCCAAATTGATATATAAATCTATAAATAGATGCATATGAATAGTGATCTTTGCAGTAATGAACACTACTTAAGCAGCAGTGAAAATAAGACCTGAAAACAATTCAGGTCTGTACACGCTTTGAACCCATAACCTTGGTGAAACTGATGCAGTGATTTACTGACTGAGCTAACAAGCCAACTGGAAGCTGGTCATTACATGTAAAATAAATAAACCTGTGAAGTGATGAATAATCCACACCACTGTCGCAGAGGTCATGGGTTCTGTATTTCAGGCCTTATTTCACTACTGCTCCAGTAGTGTTCATTACCGTGAAGATTGCTTTCATGTTCACATCTTTATCTGCATTTCACATATACGACTCTCATCTATTCACAGCTATTTAATGAATAGATAGATATTAAATAATAAACTGAGTGTAGGCAATACTTTATTAAATATAGTTACCTCTTCTTCCAATTTCCTCAGTAACAAGAATTTATTGTATTTCTTGTCTGTGCAGTTTTCACTTGTGATGATAATGGTTATGTTAATCACATTTCCTGCAATGTCTGTGAAGTAGGATAATGGCTCTAAAATCTATCTTCCTCTGTACACATGTTCAATCTCATTACGTCATAAGAACAATTAGCATGCCAATAATTTACAACTAACAAAATGCTGGAAAATCTTGCACAAATGCTACCAGATTTTTCAAAATGTTTATTGGTACAGGTATTCCTTTGATAAGTCCCTGGTTCAACTCTTAGAACTCCATCAAAATTTCACATTGGTACAAGTATGAAGCTATACAGTTGTATATGAAGGACTTCAATGTAACTTACAAATGATTGCAGTTTTTGTATCAGTTCCATGTACATTGACAACTCTGCAGGTATAGCTGGCATCGTTGGGCACTTGTGAAATATCAAGAGTTTCTTTGTTACAAAGTTGTTCTGGCTCATTACATGGAATCCAAGTGTAAGTAGGTGGAGGGTTTCCTTCTGCTTCACAGTTAAGAGTTACACTTTGTTGTACACCAACAATATACTCAGTTTGAAATTTAACAATTGTGGCTGGATCTGTACATCAAATTGGAAAATAAAAAATCAGATTAAAAAACAGCATCTACACAAAGATACATCTGAGTGACTTGTCTTCAATAGCTAAGGGGTCCAGACACACCAGTAGACTTACATACAAGAGGGTACTCTTTATCTAGTACATCTGATGTTTTGTCGTTGGATTAACTTACATGGGTTTGCAAAACGTTCTCCTAATTTGTGTACTGTGGTTTTAATGAAATTACTAATGTCTAGATGTTATCTGGGTGATACTCTAGTTATTCATAGAAACATGTTTAATAAATTAATGGTAATCAAATTTTTATCATATACAATAATTAAATAGAGAAATTTTTTAGGTTGACAGTCAGAAAACCATTGAGGTGATACTGTATTTCAAATCTTTGAGGTGAGATCTTGTCACATATGTCAAACTGGATAGTTAAAGATTTTCAAATCAGCATCAACTGAACATATTTGCTGACACAGACAGTGGAGCATTAGAGTCTCCTAACACAACATCTAATCTTAATTTTAAGAGGAGTTTACATCTACAGGGGTTGGCAACACTTTCCTGAACATGGTAGTGCTTCAAGCTGCGACCACTTTTGTCTCCATGGCAAGTGAAAAATATATTTGGTGACTAAACTTTCAAAAAAAGTTGTAAATTGGTAACCACCAGATTAAAAAAAGGAAGACAAAAATGTGACAAATTTATCGATCCTTGGATGAATTATTAATGAATTATCCTTTAGTTGATGTTTCTTACATCAACTACAACTTGGGAAAGAACTCTATACAATAGCTAAGACTACTTACACTTTCCAAGCAATGAAAAATATGTTTTCATTAGCATTTTGATTCCAAAAGTTTTCGATGGTATTTCTAATACTTGGGGATGCTTTGCAACCAAAAGGAAGCAATTATAAATTATGTATTCTATTATGTTATGCCACATGAGATTAAAAATTGTGAAAAGTAAAATCCTTGACAAAGGGCCAGTTCCAAAAAAGGCCAAAGTAGGCTCCAGTACCACTTAACCTAACCATCTAGCCTTTAATTATTAAGGTAAGAAGTATGGTGACCTGAAAACTAGGGATTAAAGAAGATGTTATTCCCAATATAAAACTGGCCCTAATACCGCTTAATTTCAGCTCATCAGTATAAGCAAGAGATGTTACTTAGCTGAGCAATAGACTAAAATTTATTACACATGATTTAATTATTACTGTGTCTCAGCAACTTTGTAGTAAATTGTTTCTGCTCCCAGACATCAGAGTTTCTTCATTGTCGCTCTCTTGACCATCATTACAATCTTTTAATTAGCAAGGGAATGAATATACCAAGTTGGCAAATGAAAGTGTTGTGACTGTGACATTTGAATCACTAAATAACTTGTGTAGTGCAGCACAAAATATATTGCTACCACTGATGTGATTTTTTGTTGTTGTTATTGTTTTATGGTGACTATTTTACAATTGAAGGTCACCAAAGGGCAATTTTTTGAAAAATTGAGCTTGGAGCCCAACATGGATGTACTTAGCCAAACATTAATGCAAGTAATTGACATCACATATTACGGCATAGAATATGTCAGGAAAGTGCATCTCTGTTCAACATTACTCAATGTTTTTTCAATGCATACGTACTCACAAGTAACATTCACATAAACTGTTCGGCTCTCTGGTTTACCAACGACATTGTATACTGTACAGGTATAATTTCCAGCATCAGTCCTGTTGATGTTTGTTATATTCAGCACCTTTCCTTTTTGCACCACAACAGTATTTCCCTGGTTCCCAGGCTTCTCTTTGGTCCAAGTGATGTTTGGTTCTATTCGACTCGATGCTTCACAGTTTAACTGCAAGTTATCACCTTCAAGAACAGTTGGTTCACCTCTAATCCCAGTGATATTTATTGGAACTAAGAGTGATCAAACAATCACAGGTAAACTTCAAGGATAATTGAGTGGCATGTACACATATAAGCAACAAGCAAAAGTGATAATACTGTTAACATGATTTTTAAATACTCTTCACAAACCTTGCATATGTAAATGAAATTTGCACATGTTGTGACTGTGCAAATTATACAAGAACAGTCTCTAGATTATGATCCATTATGAGTGCTTTAATGTGCACAAATGTCTGCCTTGAGAAA